TGATGATTTTACCACGGTGGCAAAATCACTGTGATGCACGGCCTCTCTGGACTGACTGCTTTACGCAAGCAAGACCCCACTGTGTGTCAGAAACAGAAATGGCCCTTCATGATTGTTTGTGAAACCTGAGTGACTGGCTTCACCTCTGTAGCACGAAGAAGCAGAAAAACACTTATTAACGCTGCTGTTCTGACAACCTGTGGGAGTAAATAGGTAGGAGAGGCTGCCCTACTGTCTCTGCACTGTGCACTTATGTCACACATGACTGCATGCTGGAGGCTAAAGGAAGACTTGATTCACTCAGAAACTGCCCTCACCGGAGAGCCTGTGCGAGTATGAAGCAGGGCTGCAGCTAACAATTACAGTGCTGGGCAAAAGTCTTAGTCACTTAAGCACATTGCTTAAAGCCATTTACCTCGTAAAACTACATGTAACATTGCAATAAATGCAGAGAATAGTTTATTACAGTATTTTCAAAACAGTATTTGACATATTGTAAGCTTGTGTAAAGAACAAAGTTTGGTTTCAGATTTCTTTTGGATGCCCCAGCCATAAATCACCAGGACACTTGTTTTAACATAATGAAGCACTAATTAACCAAACCAAGTGTTGGATGATCACTACAATTAATACTGGACTTTGGACTTGAAATTATTGACGGACGTAAAGTCGCTACTTACTGTACTAATGGTATTTGTATTTTAGCACAGTAATATAACTTGTATAATTGGTCAATTTCTCAACAATTTGTTTAATTAATCAAAAAATCTAAAGATGAAAATAAATTCATAATGGCGCAAGAAACCTGGATTTTTTTTTTAATTAAAGTTTTTAAAACTGTTAATAAAAATGAATTTGTTACTTCTTAATTTATTGGCTGTTTTTGCTTTTTTAGCTTTCATGTTCTCTCTATTTAACACATTTAATTATTTATCTAATATCTTTATCTAATATATTTATCTTTAATCTACTTTTATCACCATTTATATGATTCTGAGTGGGCCATCTCTGCGTAGGCAGCATCTGATACATCACTGGCTAAATGTTTCAACATTATGCATTACTACATTTGTGGTTGGCATGAACAACTAACATGTTTGTGATTTTATGACCAAATTTTACAGATTTTAAGTGTTAACGCTCATCATCCCAAATGTGTGCTATTTTTATCCTCCACAGAAGTGGGGTAGTAAGGGGTTAAGTGCATTGCCCAAGGGCACAGCCAGATATACCCAGATATACCCAGTGTGTCCTGGGATTTGAACCCTATTGTCTAAGTAAAAGTTAACACACCCAGAGAGAACAAATATAACTGTAGCATTTTTCTGCAAATTATAGTGCGCTGCTTATTTCTATTTGACAAGTTTAACATATTAGACAAGAAAAAATAAATAAATATAGAATGTGCCATAACTTTTTTATGGCCACATTTTTTATTTTTTACAATATGTTAAATTGTAAACAAACAGTAATTATATATTGACATGTGCAGAAGAATGTGTTGTGTAGAAGTTGTGTTGACTTAACTTCATTCAGAAAATCAACAAAATGTAATTTGTCTGGGGTGCCCAAACTTTTGCATATGACTGAATAGCTAAATCCCTAAAAATTGGATTTTGGTCAGGAGTTGTTGCTGAAAATGAAATACATACATCAGCACCTGTCTGTATTTGTTTGCAGAAATATTTAGGTATTCTTTCCGGATGTCCATATCACTTGGAAAACTGCTCTCAACCTTTTTGCTTCCCCACTAAACTAAACCCTGACAACTTCAAATGGGATTGTTTACATTTTAAAACATGTTATAACTATTCAGTTTTCCATGGTATGGGCCCGTGTGGCATGTAGCGTGTAGCCTGGCCTGATTTCTTTCAGCTGCCTGTGAGGAATACAGCTGTCTTTCATTAATGAAAAGACTATTGATGCCTTTGTTGGGTATCTGACAGTAAGGCTGTAGTAGCCAGATCTAATGTGGTACTATGAAGATGAAAGAGAGAATCCTTTATTTATACTGTGAAGTTATAACCAGCTTTTGCTAATCCTGAGGAATACCCTGCCTGCATCAAATATATCCACCATGTCAAGATAGCTTGACAGCCTATCGCCTGCCCCCTAGCAAATGTGCTGGCAAACTGAAGCAGAAAATATCTAATTTATAAGTTATTAATCTTTAATTCCTCCGTGTCAGTGTGATATTGATGCTTCAGCTCAAGTGGAACAGGATTATCTATATGTGGGGCTCCAGATCTATAGAGTTCAGCTTAGATTGCCCAGAGGAACCGAATGCTCCTGTACAGAACCCAACACGAATGCATGATTAAGCAGTCAGAATCCATGATACATGATGCAGGCACCTCAGTTGTTACTGCGGGTTCAGTTGGAGTTTTTAAGGAAAAAAGAAGAATCTGAAGTCGATCCCCAGTGAAATGCTATTTTAAGCCTTTTTTTGACATTGACATTTGATCATAAAGGTTTTGTGATCCTCTGTTGGTGGACACGTGATTCTTCATCTATATTCCATACTTACTGCTCAAATGTTTGGACACAACTGATTGAATCCTAAATCTTGTTTAGATCTAAAAGCTTATGGTGAAATGCTTGTAATTTCTAAGACACGTGTAAATAGTTAATGCTTAAGTATGAAGTATATGTTCGATATGTCCGATATCATAGATAATACAGCTGCACAGTCTAGGTGAGATACGAGAGGCGATCTTTGTAGATTCTGAAGATGTACTTCACTATCATGAGTCATGGCAGGTAGTGTTTAGTAATATGACAGCATCATGTTACCATTACTGGTAATTGTCATGATAGACATCATAATATGTGATGTAATGATTGCTAACTAGAGTACATTTAGCAAAAATTAGCATGTGAGCTGTCATGACGTCAAACATTATGACATCTGTTTATGGCATGGTAATGTCAGTGGGCCTCATTTGCCAAATGTTCTTAAGAAAAAAATTCTGCTTAAAACCCACTTGGCAGTTTTCATGAAGATTCTGACATTCACCAGTGTCTTCTTATTTGGAATTTGTTCTTAAGAAGAGAATCTACACACACTCAAGAGGACACAAATGCAAACAATTTTGGGAAAGAACTTTCTTAGAACTTTCTCAAGAACTATTTAAAAAAAAAAATCTTAGGAAGATGTTGGTGAATAAGGCCCAGTGTTATGTAGAAGAGTTCAAGTAAAAAGAAAAAAGAAGCAAAATCTGACTTGTTTTAGCCAATTTCTAATCCACTGAAATATGCATGATGCTATTTTTACTTATCATAGATGCTACCATATCTTAATAGGCACTATTTCTGTCCTTATTTTTTGTTCTCATGATAGTTTTGATACAGTTTTACATACTGGAAGTGCTGAAGTGTGAGCAGGTTTTGGACTAAGGTTTCTTCATACGTTTTCAGGAAAACTATTCCAAATACAGTCCAGATTTGCTCCTATATGAAGACTGAATGTAACTTAAATTGTGCTGAAAGGCGATTCTGGTTGGCTGGTCTGGCAACCACCAAAAATTCTCCATTGGCGATCCATTACTGCCTGCACATTTGCTGTGCTGCCGGCAATGGATTGTGACCTGTGTGGATATTATTAATGTGGAGCTTTTGACTGCAAGGGTCTATGGTGCTAATAGGGGGGATATTAGACACTCTGGAAAATGTTTCTAAGAGGATTAGTGACTTTTTTGAAATAAAACGCCTTATTTCTATTAGCATTATTATTACTATTACTGTTGGTGTCACATTATATTCCTGTATTGTATTGGTTTATTTTACATTACCTTATATTAACTTTTTTCTTCTTCCTTATCTTGATCAGTCTTATATTGATGGGTGCCATGACAGTGAAAAGGGTGGTGTGGGAGGCTGGTTGCTCCATTTTGCAATATGTATTCTGACCCAAAAAGACAAAACAATATTTAAATAATGAAGGTAGGTAGGTTTCAAATTGAGTTTTTAAAAATGTGTCGTATAAAATCCCATTATACTTTGTTGCCAAAATACTACATATATAAAGTTTAATATATAATAAGATTTAATATTTACAACTTTAATACATTAAGTTTAAGTAAATTAGTAAGTTAAATACAGTATAAAAATATATATCTTTCTTTGGGTGAAAGGGTGGGGTTACGGTAACTTTCTATCAGGCCAAGTCAAAAGTCCTCACAGCCAGCTTTGGTCTGTGGGCCACTCTTTGGGCAGCCATGCTGTAATAGACAAAAAAATAAGACATTTTAAATCCATTTTAAGACTTTATAAGTCTCTTTAAGGATCTCCGGGCGCCCTGTCATGTCTTCTGAACCAGTAAAAACAGCCATTACGTGAACGGCAAACACGCATCCCACATATGGAGATACGGCGAATCTCAACTCACACGTTTGCTTTTTTGTGTTATTCTTATCCCGACACTCCTACACCTGACCTTTAAATCCCACTGCAGTGTCGTCAGGCTATCGCACATCCAGGGTTTATTAATTAGCCATAGATAAACTTCACAGCTCCCGACGTGGTGCAAACATGCAGCCTCCATAACAGTCCCATCGAGGCAAGTCTCCCTCTTAAGGCATTTTGTTTTGCTTTTCCTCATTATTACAGGCCTGTCAACACAGCCCACCAGCTGTGCCTTTTTGTGTGCATTGAAATGCATCTTAATATGAGCTAACTGGCTACAGTAATATTGTTTTTCCCCTTCCTGTCAGTTAAGTAGCCCTACCTCCGGTGTTTTTAATTAGCTGCCCTGGCTCGTTCTGAAGAAGGTATTGCTCGTCAGAAATGAAAGAGTTTGACTTAAATGAGATCTCCGAGGCCTTTGGATCTATCAGCAAGGCGGACAGACTTCTTTGTAACACCGTCTTTGCACCATCTGTAAAGGTGGCGTCTCTAAAGTTCAACCCTGTTTTTCAATGCGCTGTCCTTGCTGTCATTGGTAAACAACTCTCTCTCTCTCTCTCTCTCTCACTCTCTCTCTTTTTCTCTCTATCACACAGGGACTCAAACCCATGGATCACAATGGGCTGTCAGATCCCTACGTTAAACTGCACCTGCTGCCTGGAGCCAGTAAAGTATGTACACTTTTACTCTGTGTGCGTAGAAAAACATCAGTATATACAGTTAATGTCACTGGGTCCCATATACAAGTTATAGGTACAAGTTAAATCATATATTTAATTTAAGACACAGAAGCCTTAACAATAACTACAATATCAGTTGTTCAGCATTCAGTGTGGCCTTTACTTCCATGATTTGCAGGAGACTTGCTTTCAGGTTTTCAATGAAATCTGCAGGGATAATTTTCCACACCTCCAAAGTTCAGTCTTAGAAATTGATTGCAATTTCTGCTTCTTGAAGTCCGTGTAGTCTTTAAGTTGTTTTGACGGTAATAGGCTACAGTTTGAGTAGCTGGTATTGTTAAATAGTATTGTTGAAGTTCAGTAGTACATTACTTTCATGCAACGTCATTTCAGTGCATAGAAATATTAACTTGCTTGTATGTGTTAATACTAAACGACCTTGTAATTCAGAGGATCCAGTGATATTCTGGGGGAGATGTATGTAAGACAAAACTTGTCAGTTTGGAACATTTTTGTTTAAACCAGCTTAAACCCAGACTTCCTAATATGGGCCAACTACAGAATGACGCACAACAGAGATCTGATAGCTCCTGTTGTTCAGTCAGTCCATACATGCGCGTGCAAAAGTTTGGGCAGCCCTGGTCGAACTACATGTTTTGTTGAATTTCTAAGTGAAATACGTTAACACATCATCTACAGAGAACACACATCTGTACATTTGAATGCACAATCACTGGTTATTCGCTGAATTTTAATACAATGGGGGAAAAAAAGACAGCATAAAATGTGGCCTGTGCAAAAGTTATAGCACATGTTAATGTTAATATGTTACAATTTGCAGAATGCCATATTTAAATATGACATTTCAAAATGTCATATTTAAAATCAACAAAATTGAATTCAATGTGTTGAAACTTTGACATATGGCTGTATATGTGATGCCGGTACAGCAAAGTAGTGTGAATGGAGCAAGCTTGCATTGTAGAAGTTGTATTTGTTATAATAATAAATATAAATATAAATAATTATGATTTGATAAATAATGTACATTCTTCCACAGCTCCCAGCTGAGCCATTTTAACCCTTTGATGTTTCCTAGTTTGTGTGATAGCTCCACTGTGTGATAATTCCTAGTGAGAATGTCTTTTCTTCAGCGTTAGTGTTTTATCCTCATGTGGTATCCTTGAAACAGTTGTGACCTGTGTAGTCCAATCTGTCAAATTCAGAAGTGTTCAACTTAGCATAATCTTTTTCTGCTACATAGGGCACCTTATTTCATTAAGCAACTCAGAGTACTTCGTCACTGCTCCTACTTTTGTCACTTCAAGGGTTTCCCTAGCCTTTAATCAAATCCCCCAGCGGTACCTCATGATCAAGGCACTTCTTTGGCTTGTCACTGACCAGACCCTGGGTGCTACATATTATTGCCTGGTCATTTATTAGAACTCATCTGTGCTCGTTTTCCCCTTACTTGGTTTGCCAGCAAACCACTTAGCAGCAGACATCACAGAGAATCCTAATTCTGCTCATTCCAGACTGGGATGTATGATATGATCCACAATAATGCTGGAGTCTCCTTCAGAGGGTGATTAAGTAATTGATTGGGAGAGAATGTTAGCATATGGAGTTTTTTCATTAGAATCAGGGAGCACCTCAAAGATGAAACAAGGCCCAGATGTTGCTCGAGCCACATTAATCACCAAGAGAGTGTGTGTGTGTGTGTGTGTGTGTGTGTGTGTGTTTGTGTGTGCGTGTGTGTGTGAGAGACAGAAAGAGACAAGCTTTTTATTGTGGAAATGACTACAGCCATACAGTGCTGTGCAAAAGTACTGCAGAGACCAGCTGTCATCTATTTAATGTCCAGTCAAAACAGTCAAATACAAGTTACTCATTTTCAGCATCAAAACAAATATTTAACATAAATTTACACAGGAAATATATATGTCTTTATTGTGTTCACTCTTTGCCTTTACTAAATCTTCCATTCTTTTCAGGAGACTTCATTTCATTTTTTCAAAGAAATATGCAGGGATATTTATCCACACATCCAATGTTCGGTCTTAGAGCCTTGTTGGTTGTATTTTCTGGTATTCACAATCACAATAAACACATTCAGTGGTACTGAGGTTGTTGCTAGGTTGAAGAAGCTTACCAAATGCTGGCAAAAATGTTGCAAATTTAGTGTTTGTATCCATCCTGCGTAGTTTTATATCACACCACCTCACCTAGAGCATGTCTGATCACGTGATGGATTTTGTTGAAAAAATGTAAGCGAAAACTTTAATTTAGTGAATGCTATCATGCAAAATTTCGAAGTTGTGCTCCAGTTAGTTTTTTAGTAATTTTGTTTAACGTTTGCCCTATTAATTAATGTCTAAAGTGCATTTTTAACTGCTTAGAGAATGACTGAACTGAGCTGAAATTTAAAAGGGACTAATCCTGTTTCCTGACGAAGGACAGTGAAAATAACAGACGTCTTACTCCTTCATAACTTAAAATGAGATATTTGACTAAGAAGCACAATATAAAGAAGTAGTAAAACTGTAAAATGAAAAACACCTGATCAATAAACCTTTATAATGTTTAGGAAAGTATATTATTCTTTTTTGAGAAGTAAGACATTTTGTATTACCTGTTTTTGGGAGATCTGTTGTACATAGGATCTTGCAGAGGCACACAAAATGCACCCTGCCTTGCTGGCTATCAAAATGATTTTCTTACAGTCCAGCTGCAGAAAAGGGCTTGAGAATTCTGAAAATATCTGGAGAACATTTTTACACAGGTTTTGCAAACATCAGTGAATGACGCAAGTAGCAGAACCTGAGAATTCAGGTGAAATCAGCTTGAGAGTGTGTATCTCGGGGAAGAATATTGCCTCTTGGTTTGAGGAAAATAACATCCAGCATCCCATCTGGAAACTTCAGATGATTATGATGGTGATGTCCTCATGGCCAGTACATTTGTTTTGATGGCCTGCAAGGCAGGGTGCATTTTGTGTGCCTCTGCAAGATATTCTGTCTACAACAGATTCTCAACAACAAGAAATAAAATAGCTTATTATCTCTCAATAAGTACAGTAGAAAGATTTTCTGTAGTGTTATAAGGGTGTTTTTCTTTTTACAGTGTTAGTGTTTCTTTATGTTGTGCTTCTTAGTCAAATACCTCATCTTCAAAAAACAAATCACTATGTAACACTTGGGGTTCTCTCTCTGTCACAGTATCTTCCTGGATTGCATTAATTATCATGTTATTTATATTTGTTATTATTATTAATGTGACAAATCATTGGATTTGACATGTGGGGCTTGCTCCTCATAAAATCAGAATTGCACAATTTTCCTTTTACCCCTACTTGATCAGTGCCGAGTCCTTTGGTGTCCAAGGTTTACTTCTTTAGCTTTGTACTGGAGCTGTGAGGCTAATGTCACTAACAAGTAATGGAAGCGTATACCTCACCAAATAGCACTGTGAAAACTGCATGTAAATACACTACATGGCCAAATGCATCACATGTTCGCTGAACATCATATTCCAAAACCAAGGGCATTAATATGAAGTTGAAAAATGATAAGGGTAACTCTTATGCCAAGCATGGCATTCGTTTACAAGGAAAGCTCTTCCTCACTGTGGAGATGTATGCATACATACATACATAGTAGCCAGAACAACCTGAAAAACTTTGTGTTGAGCCAAACACTACAAACTGTTTGTGATTTCTGTCATATTTTACCATTGATTTTGAAATGCTAATGTGGTTTTTAGTTTTGGGTTTATAGGCCCTTCCCCATTCAAAAAGATGGGAGTCTGGTCTTGCATGACTGGAAAGAAAACTACCTGGAAGCGTTGCCAAGATGGCCACTGTGGACAGGCTCTCCTATAAGGACTTTGGCATTACCACTGCTTCAGAGTCCAGTGGCGGCGTGCTTTACACCACTCTAGCCGACACTTGGTATTGTGCATGGTGAGGTTAGGCTCATTTGCAGCTGTTTGGACATGGAGTCCCAATCCTTGAAGGTCACCTTTTGTATGCGGTGTTTCCTGGAGCAGTTTGGAACTTGTTGATGTGTACTGACACCAAGGACAGACCATTTTTGCATGTTAAGTGCTTCAGTAGGGTCCAGTTCTGTGAGCTTGTTTGGCCTAGATGTTGCTGCTCCTACATGTTTCCACTTGACCAGGGCAGCTCTAGCAAGACAGAAATTTGACGAACAGGCTTGCCTAAGGGCTGGAATAGCCAAACTCAACAATTAGAAGGATCATCCATATACTTTGGCCATGTAGTGTATCATCAGATCTCAAATTGACTTGCTTATGAGTTTTCTGACACAATAAAAAAAAATGACAAAAGTAAGGACAAAATTCGAGCTTTAAAATGACTGTCTTCTTTTTTTAGGCCAATAAGCTCCGGACCAAGACTCTCCGCAACACCCTCAACCCAGTCTGGAGTGAGACATTGACCTACTATGGCATCACTGATGAGGATATGGTCCGCAAAACACTCAGGTACATGCTCAATTCTTTTGTATTCTGTACATACACGTCAGCATCCGTCATTTTGTTTTTGATGTATAATGTTTTATTAACACATCTCATATTGATCTTAATTGTAGTAGTTATATTATTTCAACCCAAACCTTTGAGGTTTCAATCCCGCTCTTAAATTCTGAGTGAGTAAATAAAAGTATATATCTTACTTTAGTAAAAATATCACTGGCAACCAGACAGTAAGGCTTCACAATAAATATTTCAGCCTTTTCTGTCTGTGCTTTCCAATTAGTCCACAGGTCATCAGGCTCTGTGACTAAAATAACTCTGAATAGCAAGGCTTTGTCTGCTGGGTTAATCTTCTTTTAATGGAGGGGGGGTCAGTTGTGTGCATCCATCAGCCACTGATACATGCAGGGGGACGCTAATGTTACTTGCCCATGTAATCTTTAGTGGTTTTAATCAGCGTGCTGGGTTTCCTCACAGGCTGCTCAATCAGGCTCTGCGCTAAATACCATAACTGATATGTTTACTGCCTGGGGCACCACTCAGAGGATCAGTGATGCCAAAGTGAACTCGCTGACCCATGCATTTTAGTGGCAAATGCATTTTTACATGCAAGATGTTTAGTTCATGTGTGTTCATTTTGCTCTTATCAAAGTTATTTTTACATATCTGTCAGACTCAGGACCAGTATGTGTGTGACAAGGCACAGCACGAAATATGCCTTAATGCAGCTGCAATATAAATGTGCAATATGTCTGAAATTAACAGTAAGTTTATTGCTAATCACCACACTCCAGTTTTTTTGTACATAACTGACGCAAAAAATAGCACATTGGACAATAAAAGCTGTTCTAAATGAAGCTTAAAGCTAGAAACATACTCAATGCAAGTACGAGAACACAAATAACAACACCCAGCCAACGCATTGCAATCGCACTGTCCTGCTACACATCACCATGCATTCTTTTGTTACTGTGGCAGTTAAAATGGTTTTAACAGCCACAACAACTAAATATTGTTCAGCTGGGACAAGAAGTGATGTATTATATTTGCACTACTATTCAAAAGTTTGTTTTCTTTAATAGAAAACTAATTTTGTTTGGCCAACTTAACCAGGTTTGGCTGTTGCTATAGCTTTCCTTGTAAGTGGCAATCTTTGGGGTCCAAGCACTGTTCACCATTTTAGAGGCAGTAGAACTCAAATGATGCGCAAAATTTTTAGACTGACCTCTATTTATGATAGATGTGTGTTCCCCAAAGAATGTCTGCCAAATTTTCTGCACAAAAAAAGTTAAAATACCTAGAAAACATATTTGGAAATTTGAGTTGCTTTGTGACACATTTTGGTATCCAATAATGCTTAAACTGTGTTTGTGTAGCTCAAGGCGGTTGCGTTGGCATACTTACGTGAAGCATGTTTCTGGCCTAAAGAGGCAGCAGCAGGTTGCACTGGCGTTAACCCTCATTCATCAGTGATATGGGTTAGTGTATGTCATGCATTTCGTCATGTGCTTTTGGTCCCATTTCCAAACTGCTCCGCTATTTATATCTGCTCCATTGTGCCAGGCTTTTCATGTTGTGTGACAGAGCAGGTAATTGACATTCTTATAGTCTGGCAACCAGACTCATGCAACACACTTCCCTCATTTAACTTTCCCTCATGTGAGTCGAGAAGTAAAAATTAGGTTCAGCTGAACATAAAGTGGCTCTTTTTTGTGATAAGCTACTAAAAAGTAGCAGGCTACACAAAAGCCTATTATAATCCATTTTTGTCTTAATTGTAAATTGTATTTATTAGTTTCCGATGGCATATTCTTATTCCAGACAACAAAACCCATTATCAAGCATTTTATTCACCGCTAGTAGACGTCCTGTTTCTGCTGTATGATCATGAAATATTGATTGAGATCGCAGTTCTCTGCCCATGGATACTTATAGCAATTAATATTCATCACTGTTATTGGAAAAGCAATCACTCTGATATATTGATTATCTATCAACAGAGAAGGGAAAGACATTGATATTCAAGTCAAATGCGGTCTCAATGCCTTTCGTCCTTCATTGCAATGCAGCCTATCCTGACAATGCTAGGTGGCAGTGATTCAGACAGATACTGACTGTAACAAAACTAAAGTCTCAGTAGCATTGTAAAGCTAAAGTTTAAATTGGTTGTTTAAACCGGCTAATTTTTGTATAATGAGAAAACAGTTACTTCAAGCTTTTGAAAGGTGATTCCAAATGTTTGAGTGGTAGTGTAAATAGCTCACTCCACCACTTTCTCCATCCTCCCCCTCTCTCTATTCCCTACAGGCATCATATTCACATACATCAGGCTGTCTTGCCTGCCGTGTCATCCAGTAAATGCAGAAATAATCTATGTATCCATTACTCATTTGTGCTGCTGTTGCGCTGCAGGTTAGTAGCAGCACAGCCGGGTGTGCAGGAGTCTCCGGGCCAGCTCCATGGAGATGAGAGCCCTGAGTCAGGAGCCTCCCAGCTCTGTCTGGACGGCGCGTGAATTAATGAGGCAGGGTGTCTGCCCTTCAAAGGTTGTGTTCCTGCGCATACCACCATCGGCGCAATTCTGCTTTGTTCTTATAGTGCTAATGGCTGGGAAAGTGCTGTGTTCTGCTGTTAGCGGTGGGCGATCAGCATTTGGGGATTACAGGAATTTAAAAGTTGTAGAGGGACGCAAAGCTCTCCAAATGGTGCATAGTTATTATTACAATCACCATCTGCCTGTTTGTTCACTCTATTTTTGTAGACAGGCCACAGGAAAGAGCTTTAAAAAGCTGCTTTCTAAAAAATAAGTTAAGTGCGAGTTAGTGCTTTTTATGTAATCAGTCTGACCTCTTCAAGCCCCAATCTGGTTTTTAGCATTGCAAAAACAAAGACTTTCATGTAATCCATATTTAAATGTTCATTATATATGTTTAACATACTGTCTGCTAGTAAACTCAGAGCTGATTGTGCGGTGCCTGTAGCGCTGCTTCTGCTCTGGAGATTTAAACCTTGTAAGTCTCAGTAATCCAATATCATAAAACTCTTAGTATTTCCTCACTTTTGATGCAGTAAGGAAACTTTGTTAGTTTCAAAACATATCATTCACTCTCCACTCCATACAGCCCACATATCAGGAGTGCACAACTCCGGTCCTGTAGGGCCGGTGTCCAGCACAGTTTGGAGGCTTCCCTGCTCAAACACACCCACTTAACCTGGCAATTAACAGGCAAGTGTGATCAGGTGAGTTTGAGCGATGAATCACCAAACTGTGCTGGACACCGAGTTGTGCACCCCTGCCATATATGGAAAAACAACTAAGCAAAAACAGCTTATTCTGAACATTTTGTGATGTCACAAAAACCAGTGCTTTTACATACACAGTTATATGCAAAAGTTTGTTTAAATTACACAGTTTGTTGATTTTCTAAGTAAAAATAGGTTAACTCATCCTCAACAAAGAAATGTTTTTCCTGCACATTTTCTTGCACAATTTCTATTTATTTGCTGAATTAACACATTGGAAAAAATAGAACATAAAATCAAAAATTTGAAATAATTGCGGCCCACCCCAATATGTGAAATTCAGTAAATAAACAGTAATTGTGCATTAAACGCGCAAAAGTGTGTTCACTGTAGAGAATGTCTTAACTTACTTTTACTTCGAAAATCAACAAGCATTGAATTTGACCTGTGGCGGCATACCGTGTTTGTCATTTCAGCCTACAGCAGTTTAGCCCTGTGCATTCATTCATTTTTGAATGAAGCACAATTGATTTTAAGACAGTGATTTTCAAACCAGACTTCAGCACCCCAGACAGTTCAGATTTTTCCTCTATCCCTTTGTGTTGTGAGTAGAGTTGGGGCAAAAGGATTAATGCTTACCAGTTAGGCTTTTTTGTTGATATGAAGAATCCTGAGGAATTAAAGGAATGTGCAGTATTCAAATACAGAAATCGCTTTTTGGGTATTCATTACATTTCATCATGGGAAGACAGAGAAAATATACAGGCTAACAGTTCGAGGAAACACTAGGTTTATGTTAGACTACAAAACACCTGAACGTGAGCACCTTCTCAAGGATGTGTTGTTAAGGATGTGACTGAGGTAGGCAGGAATAGCATGATGAGCTCTGGCATGGCTTTCCCGCTAGCTACTCTAGTTGACATTAGCTAGGTCTATGAAGAGAAAATACTTTGTGCAGAAGGCGGCAAGTCTCCATCACCATGTAACGTTGTACCAGTTCATGTTAGCTCATTAGCTCATCTGAAGAGGCAGCTTTACTTTTCCAAGATTGAAATTTGTCGATTTCCCATGGCTGTTATTGAATAATAAAACATGTTTTAACCTCCACAGCTATCATCTAAAAAGTTAGCCTACAGCCCTACACTGATTTTGACCAAAGTCTGTTTTTCCTTTTTTGTTGTTGCTTTTTCCATCCCTGCGGTTAACCAGATAGCCATTTATATCTAATTCTTACAGCTATTCAAATATCAAAATTAGTGATTAGTCAATGCACATCATTAGTGGAAACGCTTTTCATTTTTACTTTGGGCAGACAGAATGTTCCATTCATGTGCTGGGACAAGTCATGTGACCTGTTTTGCCTCATTTGTGTCTTAGGCTGCATTCACATTACCCAGCTGATGTGGCATATATGTATCTGATCTAGGACCACATATGAAAGTGGCTCAGGACTGATTTAAAAAGATCAGATTTGCATGCTCACACAGCTCTGAAACATCAGATCTGTGCCTCATTGAGGCAAAAGATTGGATTTATACCCTTTCAGCCTAGCAATGTGAACAGAGCCATAGGTATGTGGTCCTTGATTGGATACACATCCAACTTGTGGCTATGCGACCTTAATGAGAACAATCAGATCAGAATTCAAGCACTTTTTTGTTCACTGCACTTGCGTCTTCTTTCAGTGTTAACAAGGCAGCAGGTGCTGAACCTGAAGTTGTCAGTAAACGGTGCAAAAGAACTCATCTTGCTCTAATAATGAGCTT